CTTTGATCCAAACCCTCCCCGTCAACGACACCACCGTTTACTTCACATGGAGAGATACTTATCCATACAATCCAAACTCAGTTCAAGCATTCCACTTGTTGTATTTGAGACTCTCTGCTATTACTGAAGACAAAGAAATCTTGGCTGAAATTGCTCAACAGTCCGAAAGACTGAACAAATTGGCACAAATTGACTACGAAGAAGTCTTGAGAGTTAAGGAAGAAATCTCTAGAAAGGTCTTTGCTAAGGTTGGAACAACACAGAAAGGCTTCGATGAGTTCAAGAACACCGCCAAAACGTGGTTGATCCCGTATTGTGTCTACAGAACTTTGGTTAAATCCGTCGACACCCCACTCCCCCCAACTCCAAAAGACTTCGCCGAAGTCGAAAAGATGTACGAAGAACACAAAGAAGAGTGCGATTACTATGCCTTTGTCCAATACAACTTGCACCTCCAATTAAAAGAAGCTTCTGAGTATGCCACCAACAACAAAGTCGCTTTGAAGGGTGACTTGCCAATTGGAGTTTCCAAAAGATCGGTCGAATGCTGGATGCACCCAGACTTGTTCCATCTTGACAAATCAACTGGTGCGCCACCCGACTATTTCTCTGCTGGTGAAGGACAGAACTGGGGATTCCCAACTTACAACTGGGAAAATATGGCTAAAGACGATTACGCGTGGTGGAAGGGAAGACTCTCACAAATGGCGCAGTACTTCAGTGCATATAGAATCGACCACATCTTAGGGTTCTTCAGAATTTGGAGTATTCCAGCGGGACACCGAACTGGGTTGTTGGGAAGATTTAACCCGGACTGGCCAATTTCCAGACAAGAGTTGGAAGGGTATGGCATCTACGATACCGACCGATTGAGCTATCCATACATCAGAGACCACACATTGAATGCGCTCTTTGGATCCGAAAGAGACTTTGTTGTTTCAAAGTTCTTAGTAGACAATTACAACGGCACATATAACTTGAAACCAGAGTACCAGACCGAAGGAGCTATTCTTGAGA